AGCAAAGGGTCTGAATATTTAGGACCATGTGATATTTCAGTTTTTCTTTTTTAATAAATCTGCAAAAATGTCAACAATTCTGTGTTTTTCTGTCAATATGGGGTGCTGTGTGTACATTAATGAGGAAAAAAAATGAACTTAAATGATTTTAGCAAATGGCTGCAATATAACAAAGAGTGAAAAATTTAAGGGGGTCTGAATACTTTCCGTACCCACTGTATATATACACAATTGTTTAATTGTTTAATATTAATAATAATAATAGCAATTATTATAACATAATTATATACACCTTAATGAATAAATTACTAATTAATAATCTAAAAATGAATATTCATATAATTAATGAATATTCATATGTTTTTTTATAAAAAAAAATAAACATAAAATAACAACAACTAAAACTAAGTAAAATAAATTAAAATGAATAAATACTATAAAGACATTAAAAAACTAAGAAAAATGTCAAAACAAAACTAAACTAAAACTTTCAAATTAAAGTGAAAACAGAAGATCTAAAAATAAGATCTAATAATAAATAAACAATAATAAATAAAGCACAATATTAAATTATCTTTATTATAACACAGTTATATATTAATTACTACATTACTAATAATTAATTAAAAAAGAATATCCATATCATTATTATTGATGAATATTCATTAAAAATAACTGCAACTAAGTAAAATAAATAAAATGAATAAATATTAGAGTAAAGCACAAAAATAAATGCAACTGTTTTATGTAAAGAAATGTTTACACTTTTTATAACTTTTTATAACTATGATAAAATAATGTTCGAAAAGATTGGCTTCTAAATTTCACATTAAATATACGTGTACAGCGCTTGACCAGCTTACACACTTGATTTGCAAGATCAGTCATGTTGATATTCATCAGTAAAAAGGAAAAGCAGCTACTGAGGTCATATCCTGTTTCTTAAAGCCTCGCAAGGTTCTTCTGCTCTTCATGAATATTTGAATCGGCTCATGCATTATGCAGATGATTTCACGGCGAGCCGCTCTGAAAGTGAGCTCCAGTTTCCCCGTCACTGCTCTGTTTAACATGTGCTGCTCACATCTCAGTCATGAAAACAAATCATACTGCAAACGTACAGTATATACGTCCTCAGAGAGATCGAACAAAACACTCATCATTTACTTCTTTCTTCTGCTGAACACAAAGGAGACATCATTTCTACACAATGAGAGCGAATGCAGACAGACACTGTCATCTCCTTTTGTGCTTCACAGAAGAAAGAACACCATGAAGGTGAACGATGAACTATTATACTAAAATATCTACTAGAAACGTTTGTTACCAACCCAGCATGCTCATTTAAAGCAATTAGATATGCCATTTAATCATAATAAAAGCACAAAGTGAATTAGCATTGGCTTTCATCTCACTGCTGTCGTTACTGTCTCAGAACACACCGCAGTCAACATAAACCCCTCAGCCTTCCCCTGACCTTTGACCCCCAAACGCCCACCCTTGTGTCTCACATGATGGACTGCTTGACCTCTGACCTCAGTATTGATCTCTGTCTACATGACAGCTGGGCCAGAGTCCTTCTCAATAACTGGATTTGTTAAACACAGAGACTTTATTCAGAGAAAAGGCTTTCGAAAGAAACGACATCAAGTTTCCAGCTTCTCAGGTGAGAAAAAGAGCCTCATGTGTCTCATCAGAAGACAATGTCTCAAACTGTGCTCAGATTTGAAAAGATACCAAAGTCTGTAATCAAAATTTAAACGCAAGCATTTCTCGTCAAATGATCTGAGCTGCTCCATCTTCATTTTAAAGCTCGAAACTCTTACTGGGGTTTCGTCAACTAAAATGATTAAAAATAGTTTGCAGTAATTTACATCAAATAAAATATTAGAGTAGAGTGAGAAAAATTAAACTCGAAAAACTAAAAATCAAAAGTAGAAATGTTGCCATGGCAACTAACCAAAATAAGTAAAAAAAAAAACTAAAACTTAAATAAAAATAAAGCTAAATAGAAATATAAAAAACCCTCAAAACTGAAAAAAGACAAAAGCACATAAAATGACTAAACCTTAAACTAAAATCAAAATGAAAACTGAAAAAATAAAAATAAAACTTTTTTTTTTAATGTTAATACTTACTATAATAGTATAAAAATAACACTGAAATGTACTACACTGCACTGGGTGATCATTTGTGTCTATTTTAATTTCTCCTAAACATTTAAAAATATAAATAAAAAATAAAATGATAATAATAATATTTGAACATTTTCCTCTAATTATGAATGCAGATTTCAGTAACAAGAATATGATTTTAAAATCTGAATCTCCAACATTTATACACCCACACTTTCTTTTGTAACAGCTAAGTTTAATCATTTTTGAACGGCCTTTCCAGTTCTTCATAATTACTGGTTAAGGACTGAAAAAAAAAATCATATTCTAGACATTTTTGGTGTGAAGTACTCTTTTTGATTTAATAGATTAAGGATTCTCAGACATTTTGGTTTATGTAATTTCATAAAGTTTCCTGATATTAGTGGCTACTGAAGGACTTTTAAATCCTTTATAGAGATACAAAAAGCAATTTCCGTTCTAAAAAAATAAATCACTATTTTCAAAAATAAATCACAAAGTTTTCCAAGACCTGGGAAACATGAGATCCTTGTGAAATCATGCTTGTGTTGTGTGTTTTGGGATGCTCAGATGAACTGCAGGCTTTGGTATTTTAAATTATTGACAGAAACACTTTTTATGAACAGTCTTCTCTTTTTACACTTCGTTATAGAAAGTAAAGAGCAAATGGACAGACTGTACAAGATGAAACACAGCACAGATGGTTCATGAATTCCCCACTGACACTTTGACCTGCTACAAACTATCATGGGTAAACAACAATTACACATCCACTTATCCTAGTGTGTGCAGAAACACATTTCTGTCAAGGGTTTTAAAGGAACAGTTCACCCAAAAATGAAAATTTGCTGAAAATGTACTCATCCAAGATGTGGATGTGTTTGTTTCTTCATCAGATTTGGAGAAATGTAGCATTGCATCAGTGTCTCAGCAATGAATGCTCTGCAGTGAATGGGTGCCGTCAGAATGAGAGTCCAAACAGCTGATAAAAACATCACAATAATCCACAAGTAATCCACACCACTCCAGTCCATCAGTGAACATCTGGAGAAGACAAACGCTGTGTGTTTGCAAGAAACAGATCCATCATTAAGATATTTTTAACTAAAATACTCCATATTACATAATAATAACACTTCCTCCAGTGAAAAAGTGTTCTGGTGTGAATCAGGAGAGAAATCTGCACAGATCAAGCACCGTTTAAACAGCTCTAAACACATATGTGGCTGGAATATGACGTGAGAAACAACAGGAGATGGGCTTTTTCACTGGAGGAAGCGTTATTATGGATTATGGACTCGGTTTTTTTGCCGGAAACAACAGTTTGAAGATAAAAACGTCTTAATGATTGACTTGTTTCTTACAAACACAGATGTTTTGGTTTCTCAAGACATTAACTGATGGTCTGGAGTGGTGTGGATTACTTGTGGATTATTGTGATGTTTTTATCAGCTGTTTGGACTCTCATTCTGACGGCACCCATTCACTGCAGAGCATCCATTGCTGAGCAAGTGATGCAATGCTACATTTCTCCAAATCTGATGAAGAAACAAACTCATCTACATCTTGGATGACCTGAGGGTGAATAAGCTTTTAGCAAATTAGTATTTTTAGGTGAACTGTTCCTTTAAACTCTGGATTTGCTCACCGATTTCGCAGCTCTCTACATCTTGGATGACCTGAGGGTGAATAAGCTTTTAGCAAATTTGTATTTTTAGGTGAACTGTTCCTTTAAACTCTGGATTTGCTCACCGATTTCGCAGCTCTCTCCTGCGTAACCCTGCGGACAGAAGCAGCGGAAACCCTCTCCATGAGGAAGACACGTCCCTCCGTGCAGACAGCTGCATCTGTCGTCCGCTGTTAACAGAAAACACACACACACACAGGGTCTGGTGTCAGTGACGCTCTGGAGGTGATCCATCACAATCTGTCTGTGATTATGAAGCTGGCACACACTTGCAGACATACGTGCCCCGCGTGACCCGCTGAAAGACGGCCGCGGCGAGTCCTGAACGCCCTAATGAGAGTTTAGACGCACGTCAGCGAAGCCTCAGGGACAAAAACCTGCTAAATGAGTCCAGTTTTTCAAACATCATCTGTCTTACATTAAAGCACTGGCACGTTATTGACAGGAACGAGATTTGTACGTTTACCTGATGCAAACCTCACAGCCATAATGATACCATAAACACTAATATTAGCAGTAATAACAGTGATGATTCATTTAGACAGCACTACACAGCAGTATTAAATTCAGTTTTTGTTTAGGTGTTATAAATAAAACCAAATTGCAATATGGCTTCGTGTGATTATCAAATCATAAAAGCTGAGATTTAAATAAACAAATATATGCACTGCATGAACAAAAGAGAAGCTTAAAAAGCTAAATGGTGAAATGTCTGAAAATAAAGAAATGAAGACAGCCATAAATATTAGCATTTCAATTTGAATAATTATAAAATAATTATACTTATTTATAATTATATATTTATATAATGATAATAATAATGATAATGATTATTATTAACATTAGAAGTAGTAGTATATTCTTTTAAGTTATATTTTTATTTTGGTTAATATATTTAATAATAATAATAATCATTATTATTATTATTATTATGGAAATAAATGTATTATATTTATATTAAAATATATTCTTTATTAAAAAACATAAAATTATTTTAAAATGTACAAGTTTGATTATGCTTTTGAGGAAGAATTACACTGCAAAAAGAGATTTTCTTCCTCAGTATTTTTGTCTTGCTTTCCAGTACAAATATCTAAACGATTTTAAATCACTATATATTTACTGCAGATGCAAAAGACATAAAATGAAAAATGATCCAAATTAATTTATGCATAAAAAACAAATATCTGCCAGTGGGGTCAGAAAAATAAGCCTAATTCAAAGAGAAAATATTTGTTCTTGTTTTAAGCATAAACTATAAAAATATCTTAATTTTAATAACTTAAACTAAAGTAACTGTATCCTATTTTAAGAATGTTCACATACTTGTACAAGAAAACCAGATAAAAACACTTTTGCAGCGAAGTCACTGGAATGACAAAACTCTTCAGTATCTTTTTTTAAAAACGTTAAGACACTGCTGCATGTAAGGAACATATTCCAATAAGTTTATGCATGTATTTATCATTTCTAGAGCAATAGCAAATGTAGGTCTAGATTCACCCCTAAACGTCACATAAAAGACGAGCTGTGATTGGTCAGTTTCTATGTCAGTCAGTTTAAGTGGGCAGATCTTCAGTAGAATAAACTGCAGATTGAAGCCGATGTTCTGATGACATTCAGTCTGAACACACAACACTATCATTCAGTCCTGCTTTCTCTAGAGTCTCTCTTCATGACTCCTCACACACATATACCACAACCGTGTGAGTGTCTGTGTGTGTGTGTATGTGTATGTGTATGTGTATGTGTGTGCGTGTGTGAGTGCGTGTGTGTGTGTGTGCGTGCATGTGAGTGCGTGTGTGTGTGTGTGTGTGCGTGCGTGTGTGTGTGTGTGTGTGTCTTAAAGAAATAGCAGCCAAAATAACCTAATAACCAGCTGCTGTGATGTCTATTATTTAAAGGACAAAGAAAAAATAGAGGAAAAAATAACTTTTATAGCTTTAAGGATTAATCTATATTTAATTTAGAATTTAGTGTTTGATAACTTCAATTTCACTTTCTGTACATTTCTGCTGAAGGGCACAGGTAAATATGACATTTATTATAATATTTATGTGAAGATTGTTTTAAGTTCACTTAAATTAGAAGATATTTTTTAAAGTCTAATAAATGTTAAAATTGTTGATACTTACTTGCCTTCAGTCATAAAAAAAGATGCCATTAAACAAATATTAAAAATATACTGTCTTTATGTTTTTTGTAGATTTATTTGAACATTGAATGTGATATTATGGCAATATAAAAGTATATTTAAAAACTTTAATGTTAGGTGGGATTAATCGCGATTAATTTCAGAAAAATGTGGGATTAATTAGTTAATTTTTGTAATTGATTGACAGCACTAATATATAAATATATTATATTATATTTTTGCTGGGACTCTTTCTGCATGAATACTGAACATAAACAGCTTCAAATATTACAAGAATACAATTTACAAAGATCACAGTCCAGGATGGGTTCACTGTTACTGTCATTTACATCACTGAACGTGAATCTGTGTGAATTAACGAACCGCTCAACCAGTCGTGCGAGTTCAGAGCGGGACTATCAGTATAATTCTAATTCTTTTCTTACTCTTTGTTAGTCTGTCTTTTCCACTCTGTCTCTTACACTGATGGGCTTTATGAATACTTTTCTCTTGGATGCATTCAGGATCTGTTGTCATGGCAACTGTGCTGCGAGCGGCCGCCAATCATCCTCTCACTCCGCAGGCCACGCCCCCTCCTCTATCAGGCCTGTTTCCATTTAAAACAGCAGCAAACCGTCCCTTAGGCCCTAATTGCTTCATTGGGTTGTTTTTACCACACATGCAAATGAGCTTTGAGGTCCTTGAGGTCACACCAGCAGGGCATGATGGGATATACACAGAGAACTATATGTGACACTATATAATTGCTTTGTGAGGTTAAGAGGGTAACTGCAAACGTGCGAGGGGATTTTTAACAGAGCGACATGGAAATATTGCACGAAGAGAGAGCAAACTCTCTATGTGTGAGTGTGATAATCACGGTAAACAATTACCCATCAGGCAGACTGATTTAATTCAGTGTTTACACAGCTGCAAATCTACTTACACATCATCAAATTATCACAACAGCAGCGGAGGACTCGCACAATCTTCCTCAATACACTTCAAAGATATTACTAACACGCCGCTTATAATTAATACAAAAACCCTGTTATTTAGATTAAAATATCACACTTCAACAAATACAGTATTTATACTCAGGAGGGAATTGTCTTAATCTTTCGAAATAAAACTGATCTAAACATATCGTAAGTTTTAGACCATTGATATTGATATACTACTACAGATTCTATTAATATTTTTATTTTTATATTTTCTGTTTTCCTTTTAATTTGAGTTAAATTTGGTAATAATTTTGCGAGTGTTTTTGTCATTTTCATTAACTTTTAAAATGAATATATTAAGTTAATTTTTATTTATTTATTTTAGAACATTATTATTAGCTTTTTAAAAATATATATAATATTCTTTTAATTTATTTAAATAATTATTTCATAAATGAATTAATTTAATAATTTTGTGGGTGTTTTTGTCATTCACAAACACACAAACACACACACACACACACATACACACAGATTTTATTTCAGTTTCAGTTTTAGTTATTTTAGTACTTCAAGACAAATTAAATAAAAATTAGAAATGTTGCATCAGCAACTAGCTGAAATACATTTATTTTAATATTATTATTATTTTTTTTTTAAATATTTATATTTTAAATGTTTTATGTTTTAGTTTTATTTTATGATAAAAACTATATTATTAGTATTATATTATTTCTTTTAATACTCCATTTTTGTTAAATATTACAATTGTAACATTGTTTATTTTGTTTAATATTTTTATTTAATAATAATAATAATAATAATAATACATAAATATATATAAATTAATTTGTTGTTGTTGTTGTTTTAAATATAATTCCTATAATTATATTACAATATATTTAGTACAAAAATAGCTTTAGTTAATAATAGTTAGTTAATAATAATAATATTAAGTATTGGGTTTATTCATAATAATAATAATAATAATAATAATAATAGTTTTTTTATATAATTCTATTACTATTATTATAGTCAAGTTGAAACAGACCGAATCGCGCTTGATATGATATGTCACATTACTAGTTAAGCATCACTATTACTATTGCTCAGAGCAAACCCATGTATTAAAACTGGTGTGTAAGTGCTGGTGCTACAGACGTGAACGTGTTTCCTTCACATCAGTCGAGTCAATCAGTTCAGCCCACGGGCCTCATGTGATTGACAGCTGCTGTAACACTAAAGGTCAGATCCGGCCTTCTGCAGGACGACAGACGGGAGACGCCAGAGACATCAGTTTGTGTCAGTGCTGCTGCTTATAACACCAGCAGCTAAATCAATCCTCATGGACATGACGGCTCTGGTCTGAACCCTGCTGAGCCGCCTCGCTGTCTGTCTGAGGAGGAAAGGCCAGTTAGAAGCAAGATATCCTTCAACACAAGAGTGAAAGCAGAGAGAATGACTGGAGACCAACATATAAGAGCTGGAGTTAAAACATCGCCAGAGACGATCACAGCAGATGCTGAATGCTGAAGTGGTGCGCGCGCACACACACACACACACACACACACACTCTCACACACACACACTCTCACACACACACACACACACACACACACACACTCACACACACACATGTCTGTTGCATAGCACCCCGGACTACATTTCCCATCATTCTTTGCACAATTTGCACACCGCCCTGATTGCTCTGATTGCACACTGGTGTTTCTAATCACCTCACTCACTATGAGTATTGTTTAGCCTGTACCCCTTTCCGAGTCTCCGTGTTTTCCTTGTTTTGCCTTGCCTTGCCTGTTTTTGCGGTTTTGATCTTTGCCTGTTTTCTTGGTTTTCTCCCTCTCGTCTCGCCCCTGTTATTCTGTCTGCTGATCGGTGACCTACGCTAGCCCTGTGACTATTCTTGTGTTTTGCCCTCCATATACCTGTTTGCCAGTGTTTTGACCCTGCCTGTTGACCACGTCTCTTTAATAAAGCCTGCAGATGGATCCACATGTCTCACGTCTCGTCAGCCCCGTTACATTATTAGATCAAATTACATCACAAATAAAAGCATATGTCAGTATTTGCTGTTAAAATTCATAAATGTAAATCATTGTGGCAGACGAGAGATTGAACAGACATAGACTGTATATCATCTAGATTAGTCAATATATCATATTTCCTTTCAAATCAATGAACAAAACTTCATAATTGACCTACAGTCCACAACAATCCAAATGTTATTAATATTCATGAGCAACGCTAATAAGTTTTATAATGATCTGCCATGTCCTCACTAATTATCAAGGTTTGGTTGCTACACCAGACAATCAGCAGAACTGCTGTGAAACCTATTGTTTGTCTCACCAACATCCATTTTGACCTCCAAATATCCCTCAATGGCCATAAGCCTCTTCACTATAACAACTCTCACTATTATAAGCAAATCTCTGGGAACGTCTCATTAATATTCATGAAACCAATATGAATATTCATTTGAGTGAGCTCTCCACCCAAGCACATACTCATCACATAATTAAAGCCGACAAGAGTCTCTTTCCCGCACCTGGACATCCAACCACCTGCCACATCTGATTCACAGATTATCAAAAGACTGTATAAAACCACCAGTAACGGCAATGAATAAGAGAAATTGGAACACCAAATATGGTGACTCTAAGTCCCGCCTTCCATATTCAACAGCCAATCAGTAAAGCCGCTGCCTGGTGTTTATTCTAAGCTAGCATTCAGCTTTTGCTCTACTCTGCACTTGTGCATTGGCTGTTCAGCCTGAAATATACAGCTTTTAGCACTATTTGAGGGTTATAAACAATATTTGACACCATTCATGTCAGATTTTAAGGGATTTTGGCATTTCCACATTCAATTGACCTCATGACGGATAAATGACTGACAGCTCAAATAGCCAATCAAATCGCTGCGCTGAGAAGCCGTGCTGCTATCTGACATTTTGACTTTAAGCTTTAAAGCTTACTGACGGATACAAACCTCTTTTTTTTTTTGGAAAATTCCTTTAATTATACTAAAATGGTGTTGTTATGTCACATGTAATTTGGATAACAGGTATCCGGAGTGGCTAGTTAATTTAGATTTGTTTATTCCGTTCCTAAAATCAGCTGGTAATCTTGAAAAATGCAAGCGTTGGTTTAGACTTGTCGTTAAATTGTTAATTTTACACTTAGGTGATTCTGTGGTATTTTCTCCATTAAATAAAAAGACTTTATAAACAAAGCTTGTGTGTTTGAGTAGTTTTCATTAACACTAGATGCAATTTAGGCAATTACATGGAATTTTATATGGCAGCGTTTTCCCATAGAAAACCATTGTAAAGAAAACACTTATGGCTTAATGTATTAAAACGTTGATACTGGAGAATCAAATTCAGCATACATCTTATTAATAAAACATACTATGTACAGGACAGCAGATGAACACAGAATATGAATGCAATGTGCAAAGTTATAAACCATTAGAAGTAAAGTACTTACTGTGCAATTTAGAGAATTGTGTTCATGTTCTGGGTTCACCTGATTTCCTGTATATAATATGCATCATCAATAAGGTGTATATTCTGAATTTGATCTTTAAAATCTCATACATAAGGCACTTCATGAGTACATTAAGCAGTTTTCTTTTTTCTGGATTCTGTGTTTTATGATTTAATACAAATTTATCAAATACCGTGTCTAATGAAATTAATTAATACAACTTTTTTATATTAATACAACTAATAAAACAATTTAATCAATATTTTAAAATGTAATCAATTGAAAATGTAACAATTAATTTACAATAAAACATTGCAATTTTATTACACATTTCATTTTTTTTCCATTTTTTTTCTGGATTCTGTGTTTTATGATTTAATACAAATTTATCAAAAATTGTGTCTAAAGAAATGAATTAATAAAACTTTTATATTAATAAAAATAATAAAACTATTAAATCAATCTTTTAAAATGTAATCAAATTTAAAAAACAATTAATTCACAACAAACTTTGCATTTTTATTTTCTGTCAAATAAGGCGCTGTACAACAGAACTGTGTAAATTAAAAAAGGGATGAAATATCAGTTTGTATGATATTCCTTAAAAATATTATCATTATTATTATTACTACTTTGAGCAGAAGATTTTAGTATACAATAGTGATATATTGCTATCATAATTTCTTCAAGTTAAACCAAACATTTATTTAGGTTTGCTCTTTGAGTTTCAGTGTGTTTTTGATGGTAGGTTTCCTCAATTGAAACGGTGAATCTTGATATGATATCGTTTATCACCCTAGTGAAAATGATGAATTAGATCAGTTACCTTCTTCTCCAGCGGAGCTGTTCTTCCATACGACCTCGGCGCTGCTCAGATCCTGCTCTCCACCGCTGGGGACCGTCGTGACGAAGCTTGATGTCTGAGTCTGGTCTGCAGACGTCGAGAGGGTCGTCACAGTGTCTCCAGTGCTGGACATCGCAGCGGAGGAAGTCGTTATGCTCTGGGCGCCACTCATGGTCGTCTCAGTGGTGCTCTGGTTGAGTCTCTTGGGTTTGTTTCTGCGTCTGTACTGGATTTCTCCGCGAGCCTCGAGTTCGTGTGCGGAAGTGGAGAAGGAACCTGTGCTCATCGTCTCCACCATCAGCGGTGTTTGGGATGATGGGTACGTGTCGCCCCATGAGCTGCCCTCCGTCTCCAGCACTCGACTCTCTCCGGAGAAGTTCTCGGTCGAGACGGAGACTTTGGGTTCAGGGGTTTGGGTTTTCTGCTCGGGTATTTCGGTCACTACGATCCAATTGGCCGCCGTCGCCGGACCGTCCTGTGCGGGTCGACTGGTCTGAATGTCTCTTGGTCCGTCTGTTGTGGCGTTTGGTGGGACTGTCGTCGGTACGACTGAACTCGTGGGCGGAAAGGAGATGATTAATTTATCAGTGACGGTTGAAGGACTGGGCAGCCACGAGTGGCTCCACCATGACATCAGTCCTATAGAGACAAACACAATTATAGTGTTAATTATAAATAAAGTTCAATAGAAATAATAAAAAAAAAGATAAATAATAAAAGCACATAAAAAATGACTAAGATTTAAAATCAAATCTAAATTAGAAATAAAATAAGTCAATTATATACATGAAAAGTTCATTTGCAAAAACAGATAACAGATAAGTTTCAAAAATCATGCTTTTTCATTGTGCATTCCAATTAATCTCAATCAAACTGCAGTTGGGTTATTTTAATTAGGTTAAAAATTAACTAAAAAATACAACTAACTAACACAATAAAACACAATAAATGACATGATAACATAATAAAAAACATAATTTTTGAAAATGAAAAAAAAAAAAACAGAGTTAGACGATCTGTTTTTGCAAATAAACTGTCCATATACATATTATATATATATATATATATATATAGTAAATTAAAAATAAAATAAAAAGTAGTGCTGTCAAATGATTAATCACGATTAATCACATCCAAGATAAGTTATATTGTGTATATTTATTATGTATATATAAATACATACACATGCATGTATATATATACATAATAAATATACAGAACACACACACATATATTATGTAGACAAAAACTTTTATTTGGATGCGATTAATCACGATTAATCGTTTGACAGCACTAAAAAAAAGTTAAACAGAAATATAAAAAAAGACAAAAGCACATACCAAAATGACTGAAACTAAAACTATACAAAAAGCTACCTCAAAATGTTAATAAATACTAATAAAATAATCAATAATATATTAATAAATAGTATAACCTACAAATAATACTAAAATAAAACTTAATTCATTTCTATCAGACATCAATCATTTTTTGTGTTTGCCATATAGATTATTCCAGCCAGTGTTGTTATTAACTAAAAATAAAGCTATTAAAAACAGTCTCCATTAACTGAAATAAAGCTGAAATAAAATAAAATATGAAAATTTGATGAAAAAACTAAGTGACAAAACTTCGATGAAAAATGCTGCCTTGGCAACTAACTGAAATAAAATCTGAAGCTGAAGTACAAAAATGACCAAAACTAAAATTAAGTTAAAAAGTAATGTAAATAAAAATCCAAAACTACTAAAAATATGAAAGCACATAACAAAGAGACTAAAACTTGCAATACAAATTAATAAAATAATAATTTTATTCAGAATATTAATAAATACTATAATAGTAGCTTATAAATAATTCTAAAATAACACTAAAACTTTGCATTAAATGCATTAGTATTATTACAGGCTATACTATTATAGTATTTATTAATATTCTGAATTAAAACTTTATTTTATGTTTAGGTTTTAGTCTTTTTGTTACGTGCTTTTGTCATTTTTTAATTGTAATTTAATTTTTTTGTCAATTTGAGTCATTTTTGTTTCCATTATCATCACATATCAACCTTTTTTTCATCTGTTTTCCTCAAGCAAATAAGCAGCACTAACAAGGTAGAGACTAAAAACATGATTTCAGTAATGAGACTGATTAGTTAAAGACTCATTTCCAATGAGTTATTCAATGGGGTTATTCAGTCAGCAGTTGTGTTCTTGTGCATTTAGATGCTGTTGTCTTCGGATTCATTCCTCCGATCTGTTTTTTGTCTCCAGACTCTCATTACATATTCACTTGACTCCAGTTCTTATCTACTCGTTTAAGACTCTTCTCAAGTCTGTTAGTGGTCAAGATTCACTAATATCATTACTATTGCTCATTTTAAGATTAGTGACCTGAACCAAATGTCAAATGTGTGTAACTCCATCGGTTCATGAATGATTCCTCAAATCATGTGTCTCAAGGTGATAAGATGCACCATTTTCCTCACGTAAGGCTGGAATAATGGCTTTTGAAATATGAACAGATTTGAAAACACTAGGCATCATATACTTAATGACATTGTAAACAGTTACAAAGGAAAACTGGTCAATGTGCACTAAACTACAGGGGATCACACACTACCAGACTTTCAAATCATTCAGAGAACAGCTAGTGCTGTTATTATTCACTAAACTAAAACTATTAATTATTAATAAAAATAAAATATTAGATGAACATTTTTAATTTAAACTTAAATGAACATTAGAAATGTTGCCTGGACAACTAATTTAAAAAAAAAGTTACTAAAAGCTACTAAAATCTGAAAATGACTAAAACTAAAACTGAAATAAACAAATTAAAGCTAAATAGAAATAATAAACAAATAAAAATGACTGAAACCAAAACAAAAACCGAAAATATAAAAATAACAAACAATTTTTGAAAAACATTTTTCAATTATTTTAATTTCAGTTTTAGTTCGATTGAAATAAAGCTAAAACCAAATAAAATATTAGATGAAAAACTTTAACTTCAATAAAATTTTGAAATGTTGCCATGGCAGCAAACTGAAATAAAATGACTAAAATGTAAAATGACCAAAACTAAAACTGATATAGAAAAATAAAATGAAATTAATAGAAAAACACAAAACAAAATGACTGAAACAAACTCAAATTAAAATGAATGAAAATATAAAAATCAAAGCTATTTTTCAATATATTACTTTAGGTATTAGTAACTTAAATGAAAATCTGAAATGTTGCCTTGGCAACTAACTCAAATAAATTAGGTTTAAGTTATTTAAAGCTATTTTATAATTTAAAATATTGATAAATACTATAATAGCATACAAATAACACTGATTGCGGCCTTAATTAAACACGCAGGTGACGTCTGATCTTAACATCCACAGAATGTTTTGTTCACATTGTGATGCTGACAAATTAAATCCCAAATGTTTTCACTTAATGCACTGAAATATAATTTCATATAACAGCAGGAGAACTAACTGATGGCTGATTAAATTGCAGCGGTACAAAAGCAATGGCTATTTTACAATGAATGTCTAAAAAAGTGATTTTACAAAAGAAAGTAGCTCTGTTCCAAAACCTAGTGAGCTGCCCTGCTGTCTAGTATGCAGTTACTATACATACTAGAAACATACTTAACACATGCATGAACACACTTGTATGGAAGCCTGTTTCTGCCATGGAATAAAACAATAAAAAAGGAAATTGCATCTAACAATCTGGACTTTTTTCTTTGGAATTTTGAGTCATAAACTGCAAAGAAAAAAGTCAGAATTGTGAAATCAAAAGTCACAATTACCTTTTTTTCAAAAAGTTTTTATTCCATGGCAGAAATAGACTATATTTCTTAATTTTTGAGATATAAAAATAAAAAAATAAATAAAACAGGTAAATATAACTTAATATTTTACAATTTTTCACAATTCAGAGTTCACATTTCACAATTCTGAGTTTATATCTTGCAATTTCTTTTTTTTTTTTTCAAAATTGCAAAACAAAAAGACCAAATTACGAGATATAAAAATAAAAACTACAGTAAAAAAAAGGTAAGTGTGAAGAGAATTCCTCACAATTTGGATTTTGTATTTTTTTTTATCCCGTGGTGGAAAAATGAAAATGAAAATGGTTTGAAATTTACATTTTGTATTTCTGAGTTTATATCTCGCAATGCTGACTTCTCCACCCGCAAAATTGTTAGATATAAAGATAGATGTTAGAAATTAAAATTGAATTGAACTTGAATAAACTTGAGATATAAGCTCAGATTTATGAGAAAAAAAAGAGTCTGAATTGTGAGAGAAAAACACTTGGCCAGTGCATGTGCTTGCGTTCAGCTATGAATTGCATGCTGACACATTTTGCAACGCAACGATGCACAAAATCAATCTTCATCGCTAGAAGCTAATAACCGATTGCTAGTACGGCCGCAGGCCAAACGCTTGCGGCTGCATTTGTTTCTGGCCCAAGGCAGCATCCTAATTTAAATGAACCCTCACAAATGACTGCTTTGAAACACTTCCCATTATAAAACAGCGCACAAATATCGAGTGAACTGTCTGTTGGTTTTGGTATGTCTTGTATATAAGCAGAACAAACCACACAAAGCACTGGAGCGTACAGTACAGTACAGTAAGTGTGCTTAAGTGAACAGTGTGGTTGCACTTTTCCAGTTTCTGGTTTCAAGCTTTCAACCCTCAATTATGAAGCTTCCACTGGGACAGAGCCGAAATTCTGCCTTCATGGAAATGGACTTTAATAATGTAGGCGACAGGCCTTCTGTAAGTTTCCATTTGCCGTTAAACATGAATGCTGCCGGGTTCAGTTTGGGCTAAACAAGGTATCTGTATTAATGAAGACAGGAGGCCAACTCAATCCTCAAACTCTAACGCTCGGCCCTCCTCGAAAACGGAGAGCACAATCTCAGGTTGTGGTTGAAGTGAAGCTGACAGAATAACATCAATGATCTTATCTTCCTCCTCTCGTTGTCCTGACTTCCTCCCGCTGGACCCGAGCTTGATTTATCCGACTAACATCACTCTCTCGGTGATGACGAGGAACTAAACCACACTTGAGTAGGGCCCATGCTTTCACAAAAAGCATGTCTAATAAAGTGCAATCATGAAACTTCTACAATTTAATAACAGTATATTTAAAAGTTATATAAAAAAATATTTTAAAAATCTATAAAAATGACAAAAGCACAAAACACAATGACTGAATCTAAAATTAAAACGGAAAACATAAAAAAAAGAGCTGCTATTTTTTAAAAGCTTTTTTTAAATGTAACATTCTTTTTATTTCAACTTCAACTTATTTTATTTTAGTTAGTTGCCAAGGTAACATTTAAAATTTTTATTTAAGTTTTTTAAAGCTAATTTATAATAAATAAAAAATAAAAATAAAAAAAAGTAATAGTATATAAATCATATTAAAATAACACAGATTAAAGTTGTTTTTACTTAATGCACTTAAATATAATTCAATTTGTAAGGCCTAGTTCCTAAATTCAGTTTTCCCATTTTAATTTGTTCTGAATTCCATTTATTTTATTTTTTTTCTCAATTCTGTTTTAATGGTTAAATTGGATTTTAGTAATCAAAAAAACATAGCTAATTAATAGAATACATTTTTTTAAATTAAACAAATATAAACATTTTTTAGGTCCCTATAAAATGAATCCCCCCCCATCCATTCTGGATTCTGTTTTAATGGTTACATTAAAGTTTAGAAATCAAAAAGCATGTCTAATTAATCAAAATCAAGAAACATACCAGTTAACGACAATTTATTAATAATATTATTATTTTTAGCACCCAATGAAATCTTTTTTTTTTCAAATTCTGTTTTAGTTTTTTATATTCTGTTTTATATTTTAATAATAAAAAAGTATCTCTAAATAGTTTAGTTTAGTCAAAATTGCTACATTTTTATGAAAATAATTTTACTTTGCTGCATTCTTATTTTCTACAGTGTTTTAAAGAAAGTATTGATCTCTTTCTCAAAAAAAAAAAACATATACTTTGAAAGTTTTTGTAAATATTCTGAAAAATATTTTATTGTTATCATTTTAAAATGTTAGCAATTTTGTTGTGTTTCAAATTTTTACTAGTTTTTGTGTTTTTTAATACGTCCGTTTAGTTTTGAATTATTTTTCATTTACCATTTTTAGTTTATTTACTTTTTGTTATTTCAGTACTTCAAGCACTTCAAGCGGTCTGGACGGAACATCAAAAATTATTTCAAAATGTATTATTGATATTGTGGATTTTTAAAAATAGAGTTCAGATGCAAAAACCTCTAAGTGCCATTTGAAATTTTCTTCAAAAATGAGCATAGGCTCCTATGTTTATATTCAGTTATTTCACTTAAATGGTGAACTATTAAAGTGAAATTGCTGAACCTACACATAGGAGCCTGAGAAAAATGCTCATTTTAGAAGAAAATGTCAAAAGGCACAAAAGAGGCTTTTGCATCTGAACTCTTCAAATATTGATGCTGATATATCGCACAGCCCTACTTAAAATGCATCTTTCCTTTCAGAAAAAATGATCTAAATCAGTCGTTTTTGTTGTGTCACATCCATTTCTCTCACCGATCCGTCAGAAGTCCTCAGCTACAGTGAAGATCAGAAACAGAAACCCTTTTCTTTCATATTTACCTGATCCGGGCGTAGCAGTGGGTCTGCCGTCTGTTGCGTGCGTCTCCGTCGCAGGTGTGCTCTTGGTCTTCGCCTCCGCTTCACTTCCAGTCAAGTAGCTCCAGGGTTTCCATAACGAGCTGACAATGTTGGTGAGGGAACCCTTGGCCTTTTCTTGAGGAGCCTCTGAAGGAGCCGCAGGACTCACGGATTGACCGGAAAGACCTTCGTCCTCGTCCTCTTCCTCTCGGGCCGAGCCGCCAGGACTCAGATCCGGAAGCACCTGTCGGCTGTCTGGGAAGGAGTCCAGCTGGCTGCTCCAGTCCAGAGACGTGTCTCCGGCTCGCAGATGGACTGTCAGATACTCAGCCGAGAGCTCGGCGCCCTCAGCAGCCATCAGTGGCTCTTTGTCCAGATCCACCTGTCCGGTCCAGTTAGCAGGTCGAAGGTCAGGCAGGTCCGGCTGGCCGGCAGCCTGTGCGTCTGAATACAGTCAGATACAAGTTAATTTAACACCGAAACAACACTTTTTACTTTCAAGATATGACACTTTTCTAAGCGAACTGGGCATTTAACCATAATTCAGTTTGTTCATTCATTGGCTGCACTGCGAATACAATAAATAATAAACTTTACCAACATACACAACAAAAGTTTGGGATTGGTAAGAGTCTCTTCTGCTCACCAAGTGCGCATTTATTTTATCCAAAACACAGAAAAAACATTTAAATATTATTGCCATTTAAAACAGCTGAATGTATGTTAAAATGTAATTGATCAAAGCTGTATTTTCAGCATCATTCCTCCAGTCTTCAGTGTCACATGATCATCAGAAATCATTCTAATATGCTGATTTGCTGCTCAAGAAACATTTCTGATTATTATCAATGTTGAAAACAGTTGTGCTGCCCAATATGTTTGTGGAAACGGTGATGCATTTTGTTTTTCAGGATTCACAGATGAATAGAAAGTTCAAAACAACAACATTTATTTTTAAATAGAAATATTTTGAAACATTATAAACATCTTTACTGTCACTGTTGAGCAACTTAATGCATCCTCTGTGAATAAAAGTGTTAATTTCTTTTTTTTTTTAAATCACACTGACCCCAAACTTTTGAATGGTTGATTGTCAGCAAGCTATTTGCTTATACTTTTGATGCAGCTATAATTTATATAAAACACTTGCTGGAAAATGTCTTAATCATTTTCAACACATTCTAACTTCTAACATAATGTTAAATATTCAGAATTTAAATATAAATCAAAACATAACAAAGATGCTTTTAAGTTCTTTTTCTAAAGTCGTTAAAAAAAAGAACTTAAAAGCAGCAAAAAAATCTAATTTTTGATGCAAAAACCTTGACTAATTTGATAAGTGGACTTCTCGGGGAAAAAAATGTAACTAGATGTCTATACTTTCTCTTTTGATTAATTTAATGCAGCCTTGATGAATAAAAGTATTAATTAAAAGAATTAAGTAAAAATCTTAATACATAAAACACTTTTGCTGAAGAATATTACTGATTTCTTAATCATTTTCAACTCATCCTAACTTCTACAAAAACTTGTACCATCACATGAAATATTTAAATCAGTAGAATTTAAATCAAAACATTCTAAAAATGTTTTAGAAACAGAACTGAAAAGCAGCAAAAACAGCCTGAGAGGGAGAAAATGGTCCTGAATAAACATTTTTTCTTAAATATAACTGTTTTTAATGCAAAAAACCTTTAATTTGGTTAATATTATAAGTGCACTTCTATGAAAAAATAAAGGTAAAATATGGTCCCTTCAGCAATAAAACAGACGTTCTGCTGATTAGTATGTCAGTATTTTGTTGCAAAGAAAGATGGGTGAATTAAAGAGGCTGTTTAAGAGTTTAAAGAGGGGTCTAATGCTATTTCATGCATGTTGAGTTATTTACACTGTTATAGAGTTGGATTCTCATGATAAACATGGCCAAAGTGCCAAATACACTCCTTCCGGTTTCGTTCAAGTTTCATTAAGTTTTCATTAAGCCTCCAGGAGCTCGGCTGTTTTTGGAGAGAATTGTAAACTGTATCTTTCTTTTATAAATATGCGAAAGCTAAAGACTCTTTGGAGATATGAAGGATGCAAAACGTACTACTTTAAAGGTACTCAAGATTAACATGAGATTGGGTGAAACTGTGTGTTCCCTTTAATTTCTAAATGAGGATGAAAATGATCCTGAAAATCTATTCTCTGATGCAAAAACCTTTAAGTGGACTTCTGGGGAAAATTAAGAAGTTCTGATGGATTCAGTATTTAACCTTGTTGCAAAGAATGATGAACTCTGCTCAGTATAAGTGAAAGTGAGTGAGCGAAAACACAAATGAACACCCAAATAATCCAGTAATCGCTGAAATGAATCGTACCGCTGCTGGAGGAAAACGATTCGGACGCGTCCTCTGAACTGTCATCTCTGGTCAAGTACCTCCACGGTCTCAGTAAGGACTTCACGATGCCTGTGAGAGTCTCCTGCGCTTTCTTTTCTGTTGACACATTAAATACAATCACTCAGATTCTCTCTCCAAACACATCACTCAACCGCTGGAGCATGTGCAAGAAACGGCAAGGTCACGGGTTCGACTAGCAGAGACACACGTGCTGATAAAATGTAAACCTTGAATGCGCTGTAAATCACTTTGGATGAAATTCTGTCAGATGAATAAATCTAGAATAAATCAATATGTACAGAATGACATACCAGCTACTATTTTATACTGTGCAAAGTAAGCAAATGTTATTAATGCATGGAATATCTGACTACATTTATAAATGTGAAGAATACAAAAACAGCACTGAATAACGCAGTGAACGACTTTCCATTTCCAGCGAGACAAATTAAAAAAATGGTAATCAACTGTGTTTACGTGAATACTCGTCAAAACGGACAATTCGGCATCATTTTGTGTGTATTTCTCCATTCATGCGACGCGAAAGAGTACTTGTGCGCTGTGAGAGGCGCTTTCTGTGTGTGTAACGTTATGCTTCAGTGTCTGCGCTCAGAAAACCGGACCGGATTGAGCTCTCTCTTGCGTCATCAGATTTATCCATATGTCTGCTCTTCTCTTACTCCCACATATTGACATTTTTGAACGTTTTATGCGACGTGCAGCAAGTGTATGTTAGCTTATGTCCCGCCGGTTCATATGTACGCATCTAACCTCCAAACAACGCAGCAGATTCCTTCTGAATGAATCTCTTCCCAAATTGTCCCTCCCTAACATTTTCGTCTCGTTTTTATTAGTTGACGAAAATGTCAATAGATTTACGTCATAGTTTCTGTCATTCAAAAAGAGTTTTAGTTCATTATCATCTCATCGTCGGTGAAAAAAATGTCGTTGACGAAAATTATTCGTCAACTAAATTAACACTGCTGGCTAGCCAGGTAAGTTTCAGTTTAGTTTGCACCAATCCTAGGTTTTAGGTACCATGAAAGTGGCTTGGCTTTTAGCTGCATTCATCGCTATATTAACTTATGCTCCACAGTTAACCTGCTCCGGGGCAGGTTATGTTCTGGTTTAGAGATCGCAAACTGAAATTTGACCAATCAGCTTCAAGCAAAGTGTCACATCTCTGATACAATAAAGCCACTCCCCCAGTTTCTCTTGCTCCAAATTAAAGGACACTATATAGTAAAACATTTTTTAAAGATAAAATCACCTGGCTTTTATTATAATTACATGATTTATATATTTACTATAGCTGCAATCCATTAAAGAAGCCATATTAAAATAATAATAATAATTAGTCTTTTACTTTAAATTAATATAAATATATACAAATAATATAGAATGTAAATTAGCTTTAGAATCAATAGATAAAACTTTACATGACTACATAAGAGTTTAGATTTTTGAGTCTCTGTATACCTATCTGTGACCCTGGAGCACAAAAGCAGTCATAAGTAGCACAGGAATATTTGTAGCAATAGCCAACAATAGTACACTATGGGCCAAAATTATCATTAGGATATTAAGTAAAGATCATGTTCCATGAAGATATTTAGTAAATTTACTACCGTAAATATATCGAAACTTAATGTTTGATTAGTAATATGCATTGCTAAGAACTTCATTTGGACAACTTTAAAGATGATTTTCTCAATATTTAGATTTTTCTGCACCCTCAGATTCCAGATTTTCAAATAGCTGTATCTCGGCCAAATATTGTCCTATCCTAACAAACCATACATCAATGGAAAGCTTATTTATTCTTAGGTTTCAGATGATGTATACATCTCAAATTGACCCTTATGACTGGTTTTGTGGTCCAGGGTCACATTTATATTATCAACTATATAAACTAACTTCACATGTTTGACTTGCACTGATATGGCAAGATGTCTTCTTTTAGTTGTCCTCTTTCACAGACAGCTCTTTTCACCTTGCTGTGTAAATGTATTTAAATTCATATTTTTCAAACTTTTTAATCTTTGGCAGTGAATCACAGGTAAAGGGCATGTGAAAGGCTGTTCATGACTGATGTCATGCTTTCAAGTGCACGCGCTTCATTAACTCAGGATTAAAGCCCGAGTTGACAGAGAAAGTTGCTGATCAGCTTCATGGTACCAACAAAGCTGGTTTGGTTTTGTCAACTCAAAAGTAATCTTGTAACCCTGAGTTTGTTCAGCCACCATCATGGTACAGGCCCATGGACTCTTACGGTTCATAACATCCCTTAACCATGATCAAATCCCTATTGCATGGGCTAGATCAAAAAATAACCAATAATAATGGTTTATGTAATGCACGACTGTGTAACATGCAAAATTGCTAATGCATACCTCTATAGCAGAAAGCATCGAAGTGCCCTGTCCCGTTATTCAGTTCTGCCGGTGAAACGGTTCGGATGCCAGGTCCTCCAGCGGGACAGTCCGAGCGCAGCGAGCTGATGGAAAACCTCACGCTGCCGTCAGACAGCCAGGCCGGCTCGCAGTGCTCCAGCCCAGAGCTCCAGGCCAGATAGAGCTGACCCACGGTCGCTAGCCGGCCGCCCAGAGCCGCACAGTGAGCCACGGCCTCCGGACGAGTCAGTCTGTCAGGAACACCAGCGGGAAACACTTCACCTGCACAACCAGTGTTGGGGAAAGTTACTTTTAAAAGTAATGCATTAAAATATTGCGTTACTCCCTAAAAAAGTAACTAATTACATTACTTTTATGGAAAGTAATGCGTTACGTTACTTTTGCGTTACTTTTTAAATCTGGGCAGGGCTTGCTTGTTTGTTTTTAATATAAAAAGTTCTATTTTTAGCAAATGTAAAAGCTCTTTCACACCAAAAAGTGAAAGGAATAAGCCTCAGGCTGAAAGAAAAGTAAATTCACGTACAGTAAAACACAGGAGAAGAAGGTTCAACACTCTTTAGCAATAAAAAAAAAACAATGAAGCACAAATGTTAGTTTATCTAAAGTCATTTTTGCTTATTAGTATGGTTGAAATGGATCATCAAAGGTCAGCAGCAAAGACATTGGTTAATAAAATGGGATTAAATACATTTAAATGTAAGATATTTAACTATTGCAGGCTTGCATCATATTTGGAGTTTGCATTTCACTGTTTTAATTAATTTTGATGAATACTGAATCTGTCTTTTTGCGAGTAAGACGAATTAATGCATGTTCACATTTAGTCTAGAACTACAGTAACATCACGTTCACTCATCGCACACAACGCCTCTGTACTCCCGATTTCTCTCAACATGGGGACAGGAGACTTGTCAGTCAATAAATGGGAAAACAAAGTAACTGGCATTACTTATTTGAAAAAGTAACTCAGATATTTTCTTGTAAATTAAAAAGTAATGCGTTACTTTACTGGTTACTTGAAAAAAGTAATCTGATTACGTAACTCGCGTTACTTGTAATGCATTACCCCCAACACTGTGCACAAGCACATGAGCAGAACAGCTGGACAGACGGCTTGTGCATTCAGCTGAATCAATGCACAACACTTTCAGTAAATATGTATGGGGAGTTTATAATAAATGTTACAAAATAGCATCATGCAACAAACAGCATCGTCAAAAACCCATTACATTGATTTCTATTACATCTGAAAGCATCTTAACATTTGTCATCCATAAATTACGGCATGATGATTTTGGTAAATGATTAAAAATGCACCTTTTTTAAAACGGTTATGAATTATTCATATGTTGTGACTATTAGCTCCACATACATTTCTGTCGTGTTATTGTAATAGATAGATAGATAGATAGATAGATAGATAGATAGATAGATAGATAGATAGATAGATAGATAGATAGAAATAAAATTACAATAATACATTAACTACATTAAAGTGCCCCTATTATGCCATTTTTAAGGTTGCTAATATTGTTTTATGAGTCTCCTAAAACAGGTTTACATGCATGCAAGGTCATGAAGGTTTTCTCAAAAAAAATTTGTAATTTTACATCATTTCTAAATGATTCGTAAACGACTCGTGCGAAGCAGTTCAAAGAATCAGTCTGTCTCTCTAAACCCCTCCTTTCCGTGAGCCCTCACTGCTGTGATTGGTCAGATGGCGCAGTCTTTTGTGATTGGTCCAGAGCCGTAGAGAAATTGGCTCTGGATTGGTCTAACGCGTACAGCGCGTGTCGGAAACGAAACGCCCATTGCCATGACGGAATGACAGCCCTGGAGACTTGTCAATACATAGAAAAGATGGTATCAATTGTACCTTACCAATTCTAGCTGGAGTCTGATGATGAAACGGTTGGACTGGCTGATCGACAAGAGACTGATTCGCAAGCACGACTGGAGCAGGACGTTTCTCAGTGGTAAGTGTCAAGTGTTAACAAGTTTGTGGTAATTATAAGATGTGATAAAACAAATTTACTCTCACAGCGTAGGATACAGCGTCTTCTCGACATGATTTTAACCACACGGAAATTTTACTGTGTTTGTGGCAAGTTGGCGACGTAGAACGTGGGCAGACATTATGCAAATGTGTTACTTCATGACGTAGAGCCGTAACAGAATAAGATTCAAATTCCTGACGACTCATTTAGGCGATTGCGAGCCGACTCTTTTTTTTGATAGACAATAACTTTATTTATCGTGCACTGTCGGCTTCTCAACTTTGCAGATAGTTTATGTTCACATACAGCTACATGACACACTGCATGAAAGGTAATATTCGAAAAGGCATAATTGGGGCACTTTAATACCATTACTATCATAATAGTCGGATATGGTTTGAAACATCTGATTGATCCCATTTGTCCATGGTAAACGTGTTTTCCGGAATCTCACCTTGCATGTCATTGGCGAAACAGTAAACATCAAACAGTTCCGAAGGGTCCCGTTTCCCATAATTCCTCACTCCAGGAGAAAACTCTGCGTGTCCATAGCAGCCGAGCTCGGGTCTCTGTATAGGATACCTGCAGAGAGGAGATCAAACACCTGCACTGTGAGAATATCCATATGTAAATAAAGCTGTGCTGTCATGAAGATGCTAATAAATAATTTCACTACAATATTATAATAGGATCCTTATAATAGCTCAAGGTGAAGCATGTCTGTCTGGCTGGAGTTTAATAGTCCTTCATCAACACTGAAAGATATGCTGTGATTGCTAAAGTTCACAAACAACTGTCCAAACCGTCAGGAGGAACTTCACAAAGTCAGTTCCCTTTCAGTTGGTCACTCCGAGTCACGTCGGTGAACAACGAATTGGGATCTCACACTGGCGCACAGCTGACCCCGCATTCTACGCAAGTATGCGATTCCCCCAGTGAGCATACTTGCACAGACGTTGTGCAAAGTCAGGGAGGATGAGGAGCAGGTCCTGCTAGTTGCACCTTACTGGCCCAACCAGACCTGGTTCCTGGAAATGATGCTTCTCACGACAGCCCCTCCCTGGCTCATTCCTCTGAGGAAAGATCTACTTTCTCAGAGACAGGCCAGATCTGTGGAACCTCCACGTGTGGTCCCTAGACGGGACACGTAGGTCCTAGGTGATCTACCCCAGGCGGTGGTAGACACCATCAATTCGGCAAGAGCACCCTCTATGAGGCGTGCCTATACCTTGAAGTGGAACCTTTTCGTTGAATGATGCTATTCTCACCGGGAAGACCCCTGGAGATGCCCGATCAGAGCTGTGCTTTCCTTCCTCCAAGAGGGGTTGGAGCGAAGGCTGTCTCCTTCCACCCTAAACGCATATGTTGCCGCAATTGCCACACATCACAATCCTGTAGACGGTGAGTCTTTGGGAAAGCACAACCTGATCATCAGGTTCCTGAGGGGCGCAAGGAGATTAAATCCTCTTCGCCCTAACCCCGTACTCTCATGGGATCTCCCTCTGGTGCTTAAGACATTGCAGAGGGCCCCTTTTGAGCCGTTGCAGTCTGCAGAGCTGAGAACTCAGTTGATAAAGACTCTTAACTGCGCTGGCTTCCATCAAGAGGGTAGGGGACCTGCATGCTTTTCCGGCAAACAAATCGTGCCTGGAATTCGGGCCGGCTAACTTTCACATTATCTGAGACCCCGGCCCGGATATGTGCCCAAGGTTCCCACCACGCCTTTCAGGGATCAGGTGGTGAACCTGCAAGCGCTGCCCTCGAAGGAGGTAAACCCAGCCCTAGCTTTGCTCTGTCCCGTTCGTGCTTTACGTCTGTAACCCTCATTCCCTGAAGGAGGGAATGGAGACGTCGCGTCCCATCACCACAGTTGCTGTACCACCACGGGGCACCGGGTCACTGGCTCGGCTCCTGAGCGAAAACCTGAATAACCGTTGCACCTGCTGCCTACTTATGCTCGTTTCGTGATGAACAGCAGCTGGATGCAATTATTGCATGCCAATGTGTATTGGCTCGTTTAGCTTACACTCAAAGATGATAGGGCTCTCAGGCGAGATCCCAATTCGTCGGTCACCGACGTGACGTCTCCGTTCCCTCCTTCAGGGAACGAGGGTTATATACGTAACCGAGACATTTAATTTAATCTATCTATCTATCTATCTATCTAAATAAATACATACATACATACATAAATAAAATTTTTTGCTAAACTAATCTTTTAAAAATATTACTTTTATTTCTAATTTATAATAATAATAATAATTGTTGTAGTGTATTGGCTCGTTTTGCTTACACTCAAAGATGATAGGGCTCTCAGGCGAGATCCCAATTCGTCGGTCACCGACGTGACGTCTCCGTTCCCTCCTTCAGGGAACGAGGGTTATATACGTAACCAAGACATTTAATTTAATCTATCTATCTATCTATCTAAATAAATAAATAAATACATACATACATACATACATAAATACAATTTTTTGCTAAACTAATCTTTTAAAAATATTACTTTTATTTCTAATTTATAATAATAATAATAATTGTTGTATACATTGTGTAATATTAATACACAATGCATAATTAAAATAGTAAAGTAATAATAAAATAATGTATTTCTTTTTACAAACTATTCTTATTCTTCTTATTATAGTTATAATTATTGTATATTATGTATTAATATTATGTATTTAATATTTATGATTGACTAAATTAATAAATATACAAATAATTTAATGTATAGAATTATAACAATATAAAAAATAATACAATAATAATAATAATTGTATTTATTTGATTATTTACAAAAAAATCTATGTATTTATATTATGCATTCAATATTTATTATTTACTAAATAAATAAACATACTAAATAATATACTATTAAGTATACTATGTAATAAATACATATGTGAATTTCTGAAAGCTCAAAGCAAACCTTCAGGAACAACCTTACAAACTGAGTTTAATTTGTGTAGACCCATAACAAAAACATAATTCATAAAATATTAATATTAATATATAATATTCATTCATACATTATTAGTAAATTCATATTATTTCAAAATTCTGATTATTTTAAATTCTTATTTTAATTATTACTCATTAAAATTGTGTTTCAGGTTACAATCAAGTTTGACTCAACCCTCAGTTTATAAAAAAACACAGATATAATTAGTTTTAGCATTCTATTACACTCTGTGATATTTCCTGACTGATGCTCATGAGTCAAACCTGACGCTCTGGTCTCTGAGCCATCCGGCCGCACAGCTGTTCATGCCGGAGTGAAACGCCGCCCACAGCTGCTCAGGGGTCGCGACCTCAGCCGAGTTCTCCTCACACGCGCGAACGGCCTCGGCGAACGACAGCGAATAACGCTCCTCGGGAGAACGGTAGTGAAACACCACACCTGAAAACACACAGAAACACGAACATCAGAAAACAACCAGAGGCACAGACAAGCACTGGGGATAATAATTGGCCAATATTCATGTTTTTCAATGGTCTTATACTTTTTTCATTTATTTTACACTTGTCACAAAACAGTAATAATCTTAATATATAATATCAATCAATAAAAGTATTATTTAAATTGCTATTAAATTATTATTATTAGTTAAAACCACAACAACAATAATAAATAATTTAACATTTCGCCCCACCTTGGAATTATAAGGTTCTATCAGCATTCTGAGCAGTTTTGAGATATTGAGCTTCAAAGTGTTTGTGTTCCATAGACTTCTGTAGATAGAACCCTTATTGTTTTCTAAAAAAAAGGCCCAAAATGTACACAGCTTACAAAAGAAACATCACATAATGTAAATAAGTCGTCCCAGAATAAGAATATGTGAATAACTCCATTTTGACAAAAATGTCAGATAGAACACCTTATAATGCCAAGGCGACGATTTAAAAAAATAATAATAATTTTTTTAATAATTTCTTTAATTTTCACATATTAAAATTGTTTCAAATTATGATAAAGCTCAACTTGTCCCTTAGTTTGTAAAGACAAATATGAGTTTAATTTGTGTAGACTCATTACAAAAAGTATTAATAAAAAGTATAACTTTATTAATATATAATATATAATTTTATTCATTTTAGTAAAACTAATGTATGTGCTTCTGACATTTCTATTAGTTTTTTGTCATTTTGATAAGATTGAAAAAAATATTTCTACATAGAATTTATTTTAATTTTAGTTTTAAATAATTTACTTCAGCTTAAACTTAATTTAATCTCTAATTTTCTTAGAATTTGCTAACTTCAAGTTTAGTTTTTTTATCTAATATTTATATTTGATTTTAATTCAGCTTTGTTCAATTACCAAACACAATTTGTAATAGTTTTAGTTAACAATAACAACACTGTTTGAAAGACCATAATTTATCCTGAAATGTGTGTAATACTATAAAATAAGTATTAAAAAAGTCCTGGAAAAGTACAGTAATCAAATATTAAATCATCAAGTGTCATTATTCAGCTCAATTCAATTTAGTCTTGGTTCAATAATAGTATTAATGTTGCAAAGTGAGTGTCATTATCAGCTCAAATGTTGTGATAAGTGTCAGAACATTAAATCAATAATATCTCTAAATATCAATTGTCTGTCCCAGCGCATACATTATGTAGAACATTTGAGATGATTTATCTGCGGTTTAGCGTAATTTCCCTCATTAGGTGTCACCTGTTTTCCTCAGAATTCACACAGCCCTCGTTCGCAGGTAATCGATCTCACCGCTCTAATTAAAGAGTTACGGCCAATTAAGCAGTTAATGAGAGCCTCAAATGAAAATGAAAATAAAGCGGGGCTAAAGTTAGACGGGAAACGAGGGAAAAAGCTGAAATGAATCTGATATTGACAGTCTGAATGGATGTAATGAGAGGGTAATTAATTCACAGCAGACTCCTGGACTCTTAACGAGCCGCCGCTTTTCCTCAGTGTTTATCTGAAAACTGCTGCTCACGATGATTTGAACTCGCTCACTGGGGGTTTACAGACAAATATATTGAGCTGTAATTTTCTCTTAATTGAACTTTGAGAAACTACAACATTATTACTGAAGTCATTTTCTGTAAAGCTGATTTCAAACAATGTCCACTGTCAAAAGTGCTGTATATATTATAATATTATAAAATTATTTTTAAAAAACACATATTATACATTAGTATAATGTGTAAAAATATATTTAAAAAAACATATATATTAGTATTAAAAATAATTATAAAAATATAATTTTATAATTTATTAAAATATAATTTTATATAATTTACATTTAAATGTCAGGGCAGTGTTACTTTAGTATTATTTACAAAACATTATATTATTTATAAATATTTTTCATTATTTTTAAATTTTCACTTTTCATTTGAATTTTAGGTTAGGTTTTAATAATTTTGTTATTGACAAATTTGTTGTCATTTTTAGTTATTTAAAAAATTTCTATTTAGATTTAATTTCTATTTATGTTTTATTTTGAGCAGTTTTGGTATTTCAAACTTATTTTAGTTGCCAATGCAAAATGTATATTTAATCATTTTTAATATTTATATTTTAGCTCATTTCAGATTTATTTCAATTAACAATATCTAGTATTTTCTATTAGGAAACGTATAGTTTTTGAATATTAAATCAGCTCCCAGTCATAAAAACATTATACATTAAAATTCTTAATTTTTAGCTCTTGTTTACAATTTAGGATTATTTATATACCATTACAGTATTTATAAATATTTTCAAATTAGCTTTTATTTTTATATTTTGAGTTTTCATTTGCACTTTAAAGTTTTAGTAATTATAATATCCTTTTGAAATTTTTATTACTTGTTTAAAGATTTTCCTACATATTTCGATACAGATTATTTTTTTTTAATTCAGTGTTATTAATTTTAATACATACTTTTCATCTAATATTTATATTTTAGTTTATTATAGCTTTATTTCAGCTTAGACAACAACAAGGATCATATTTTATACTGAAATCTGTGTAATGCTATAAAATATTTATTAAGTCTAGGAAGAATACAGTTAAATATTTAATATTAAATCAGCTCCTTTTCATAAACAACTATTAATTCAAACTCTTAATCTCAAACTATTAATTTCTAGCTATTGTTTACCATTTTTAAGGCAGTGTTATTTTATCACATTCGATTAATTCTGCCGCCTACAATAATTGAATATTACAGTTTTTTTTCAACTACTGACACACAAAATATTTACTTGTCACACAATTTCTGAAAGCTGACACTCAAACACCAGAAGCACACACCAAATCTGCAAAACCATACACTATTATTAGGAATTAATATTATGGCAAAGGTGTTTGAATATTGTGTTTGTGATATTTTGAAGATATTTTAAAAAAACAACAACATCTGTTGGGTTTTGATTATCATGTACTGTATATCGCGCTGAAATCACGCGTTTTAAAGCCACATTAGTTCAAACTTCTGATAGACGGTTTTCTGAGCGCAAACATCCTAAGCATGCGAACAGAGCGGCTGTCACACGCATGCGAGTACTAAAGTTCTTTCACACACGAGTTTGTGTTAAAAACATGCACAACTTACAAAAACACAGTCGGTTATGTTTGTGAAGAGGATTGTGTGCGGCTCACTCAGGGCGGGGTCACGGCTAACACGGCTGTGTCAATCAACACTCGTGGGCGGGGCTTGTAAATTGTGATGTCACACTTTACAGATTATGTGATCGGCTTGCTCTGAGACGCTGCTAATGATATATGTGACCCTGCAGCACAAAAGCAGTGTTAAGTCGCTGGGGTATATTTGTAGCAATAGCCAACAATACAGTGTATGGGTAAAAATTATCGATTTTTCTTTTATGCCAAAATCCATTAGGATATTAAGTAAAGATCATGTTCCATGAAGATATTTTATAAATTTCCTACTATAAATATATCAAACTTAATTTTTGATTAGTAATATGCATCGCTAAGAACTTCATTTGAACAACTTTAAAGATGATTTTCTCAATTAAAAAAAAAATGTTGCACCCTCAGATTCCAGATTTTCAAATAGTTGTATCTCAGCCAAATATCCATCCTATCCTAACAAACCATACATCAATGGAAAGCTTATTTATTCAGCTTTCAGGTGATGCATAAATCTCAATTTCAAAAAATTTAACCTTATTATAGGTTTTGTGCTCCAGGGTCACATATGGAGATTTTAAAAAAGGACTGGGTGGATTTTTATCATTATAGGGTGGTTGTGTATACACACTGCCATCACACATTTATGTCCAAACAACATGTGAAAGGAAATTTTGCATAATAGGTGCCCTTTAAGCAGTTGAAAAAAAACTGTAAATCAGTCCGGTTCGGATCTCACCTGTGACCTCCAGGTTGATCGTATCCTGCTCATAATTTTCTCCCAGAGCGACGTGGCACCGGAAGCTCCCGGAGTCGTTGGAGCGGAGCTGGGAAAGTGACAGCGAGGCATTGAGCGGGTCGACCGAGTATCCGGGCAGACTGACCCGACCCGCATACGCCTGGTGCACCTTGACCACCCCGTCCCGGGCCGACAGCACCGTCCTCTCCTGTGCTCCGGAGCCGCGGCTCCAGCGGATGAAGGGGCCGTATCCCGGGAGCAGGGTGGCTGGCAGGGTGAACACACATGGGAGCAGAGCGGAGCCGGATAACGAGCGCCGCAGGGGAGGATGGGTCACTCTCCGGACCATCGCCGGAGTCTCGGCTCGAGTCAGCCCTGAGAGAACAAAGAGAGAAACAAACAGAGTCAGGTTTGAAGGTGAAGTGCGCAGCGTTTGCGGTGTTGAAGTGGTCTCTGGTGTCACAGGTTAATGTTCAGAGTCAATAATTACCTACAATGACAGAATAAAACAGTATCTTAAAATAGCTATATAACAGTATTATTTAAAATCTACAGTAAATATTTAAAATATATATATATATATACACTCTTAAAAATAAAGGTGCTTTAAAGGTTCTTCACAGTGATGCCATAGAAGAACCATTTTTGGTTCCACAAAGAAGCATTCAGTCAAAGGTTCTTTAAAGAAGCATCTCTTTCTTAGCTTTTTATAATCTGAAGAACCTTCTTTCACCACAAAGAAGCTTTTGTGAAACAGAAAGGTTCTTCAGATGTTAAAGGTTCTTTATGGAACCATTTAGACAAAAAAAAGTTTTTGCCCCTTCCTGTTTTTTTTTTTGTGCATATTTGTCACACTTGAATCATTCAGATCATCAAACAAATTTTTATATTACACAAAGATAACCAAAATACAAAATGCAGTTTTGAAATAATGATTTCATTTATTAAGGAAAATTGATTATGTTATTCAGTTAGCATTTATTTGTTTCAAGTAATGAAAATGCTTTTATGGTTTTAGATTTCATTAATTATTCATTTAAGTTAAACTAAATGAAAGTGAAAAATGGTGCCTTGACAACTTGATGAAATAAAATAAATCTTAAGTACTAAAATTACTACAATTAAAATATATATAAATTTAAATAAATATGAAAATTTTATTCTATTTCAGTTAATGTTTATTTAATTTCAAGCAATGATTTTTTTTATGTTTGTAATTTTTATTAATTATTAATTTTAGTTATTTTAGCACTTCAAGTTAAACTAAAAACAAAACAAAAAAAGAAAAGAAATGTTGCCTTGAAAAAAAAAAAAAAAAAAACTAAAATTACTGAAATAAACATATAGATATAAAGTACAAATAAATATAATTATAAACATAATAATATTGTTTTATTTCAGTTAACATTCCTTTTCATGGTTTTAGTTTTAGTTCATGATGATGATGTCAACTGAAGAGAAAAGTAGTTCTTTGAGTTATTATATTTTGATGAAAGATTATGAAGACAAATATTTCAATACATGCACTGATGAATCATTCACAATAAGAATATGAGTGTGATTTAAGGAAGCAAATGCGACCCTTTTTTATTTGACATCAAGAGAAATTCATATTTTTTTGGATGTGATCCAAACAAAGGAAAAGCCCAGTTCACTGTTCCTCATAAAACCTGACGGATTATTACAGCAAAAGCCTTTGTAACGTCCTCAAACACAGAAAACACATGAATAATCCAATTCGTCAGTCACTGACGTAACGTCTCCGTTCCCTCCTTCAGGGAACGAGGGTTACACAAGTAACCTAGACGTTCTCCAGCCTGAGCGTCTGCTCTGGATCTCAGCGCAGTTCATTAAAACACTTCAGAGATGTGAGAGCAACAGCAGAAAGATTTTTTACAGCTGAACTCCATCATATTTTCGCTCGTATGAGCTGGATCTCAGTCTGATGTGTGTTCATGTGCATCTGAAGCTTTTTAGTTATCTGTCAGCTTCACTCTCAGTTCATCTCAGCAGATGAATCAGAATAAACACTGATGCACTGTAAATACAGTAGGAACACAGTCAAGGCTTTGTCATCTAAAAGCTAAATGCATAAATGTGAATATAAAGGTATCCCGTACAACTCCAATAATCTAAACCCAAGAAAAGAGAGAGATCCACTGTAAATCTGAACATGCAACACCATTATTCAGTCAATACTGGAAAACAACACATTTTATTTTATACTCCAGGTTATTTATAACTCAAGTATGGACAGCAGTTGGCATGTTTTCAGTCACAACCATTTCAACCTCTTTCATTCCCCAGCCTTTAAAACTGTGTTTACAGTAATACAGTCCTTTGATTTTAAAGAGGATTTAAAATGTGACGCTTGTATTTTTGTTAAAGATGTCAAGTGAAACCTCATGGAACAAGTTAAAAATGTACACTATTGTTTAAAAGTTTGGCATCAGTAAGAAATTCATATTTTTATTCAGCAAAGAGGCATTAAATTGATCAAAAGTGACAGTAAAGACATTTATAATGTTAGAAAAGATTTCTATTTCGAATTTTCTATTTTCTATTTCAAATAAATGCTGTTCTTTTGAACTTTCTATTCATCTTTGAATCCTGAAAAATAAAATGCATCACAGTTTCCACAAAAATATTTGTCAGCTAACTGTTTTCAACATTGATAATAATAATAAATATTTTTTGAGCAGCAAATCAGCATATTAGAATGATTTCTGAAGATCATGTGACACTGAAGACTGGAGTAATGATGCTGAAAATTCAGCTTTGATCGCAGAAATAAATTACATTTTAACAGATATTCAGCTATTTGAAATTACAATAATATTTCACAATTTACTGATTTTTTTGTATTTTGTATCAAATGAATGCAGCCTTGGTGACTTATTTTAAAAGTCTGATAGAGACTCTGTGATAGAAACACTGTGATAGTTGTATGTTTAACATTTATTTGTGATGAACTGCCTGCTAGGTTTGCGTTGTAAGTGCATTACTGTAAACACATTTCCCACTGGTTTTTACACACAGATGCCGTCCACAGATATGCAAATGTAAATAACCTGGAATATTGCTTTAAGTGAGAAGGGAAGATGAACTGACGATCTAATCTCCCAAATCCACGCTCTTCGCTGCTACCTCAATTATCTGTTGCGGGAAACGCATAGAAAATCAATTGCAGTTCTTCATTCCATATGGATTTAGGGATGAGTGTATATCCCAGCATTTGAATAATGATATAAGTGATAAAAGCTCAAATCTGCATTTAGATGGTCTCCATTCACCCCCCACGGCTTTGTCTTTGCGCAAAAACCAAGTCATTTTCCTTCCTAATGAGACGTAACTCAAACACGTACGGCTGAATTTTACCAAAACACAGAAGAAGCCCAAAGAAATCATAAAGAAAACGAAGTCCATTTTGTCCTTAAATTATCATTAGCATAATGTTGATTATAATTACTGTATGTAATGTTTTACTGTATTTGTTTAAAAAAAAGCTTTATTTGCATGCTTATAAAAGGCAGTAAAACAAATACTATAAATATGAAAATACCATTTACATTTTATTATATCCTTGTCATTGTCACGACACGGTATGTGGAGGCAGGTAGGATGACAAGGATTCCAATAATGACTTTTAATGTAGACACAAGGCAGATTCAGGTAGGTGAGACACACACACACACACACACACACTCGGTGTAACAGTCACAATAACCGACAACTAAAGCTCAGACAGACAGGAACTAATATAGGGTGGATAACTAGTGGCAGACAGGTGAGCACAATGAGGGTAATTAACTAATGATTAGTACGGGCTAAACCAACAAAAGGGGAAGAAACCACAATAAACAGTCCACAGGAATGTTACATTAAATAACAATAAAGGGGCGGAGGGGGACTAGGAGGAGGACAAAGCAGTGGATGTGAGATGGTGACAGGGGAAGGCAAAGGGCTGGCAGGCAGACCAGACTGGTGGAGGTTCCGGCAGAGGACGGACTTCCAGGAGGAGGACGGCTAACAGAGTCCAGGGAGGTGACGATGGAGGGAGGAGCCAGGGAGACGACAGGAGGGAACCGGACCAGGAGGAGGAGCCAGGTGGGACCCAGGCCACAGCCATAATAGTGGCCCACGGTGGAGCAGACGGAGGGAGGAGCGTCCACCGACTCCAGGGGGCAACCAACGGCGGCAAAGCAGGTGGTGGAGGAGCCCGAGGCGAAGACGGAGAGCCAACGAGCCAGGGGGATGCAGAGGATCCGGGGGGCCAGGGTGGAGCTGGCGGGAGGAAGGAGCCCAACAGAGCCGGTGAGACAGAGCGACGAGGTGCAGCCAGAGGAATGGAGTCCAGAGGCAATGGCGGGTCGACGCCCGAGGTCTCTCCTCCTCGTTTTGACACTGAATTCCCTCCATAGTCCGCTCACCCGCAGCCGTGATGCAGGAGTCGGAGCTCCCCTCCGCACTCTCCTCGTCTACGGCTTGCTCCTCCGTGATGGGCACTGTCACCGGGTCTCGCACCTGGTCTAACGTGTTGGGCTCAATATCCGAGGCAATTCCTCTTCTCAGCCGCGGGGCTTCGCTCCGGCTCGTGGATCACGGCGGGAAATGGCTCTCCGTCATCGGTGGGCTCAGGCTTATGCTCCGTACCACGGGGAGATGGTGGGCTGGGCTCAGGATCCTGAGTGGGGCTGGTGTTGTTGTCAGCGAGGTCCACGGTCAGATGGGACTTGCAGGACACCAGCACCCACTCGATGAAGGCGGCGAGGCTCTCTCAAGGACCCGGACAACTGCACTCATGTGGCGTTAAGTCCAACTTGATAGAATGAACAGAGGTAGTTGTCTGGGTAGTGCGTGAGGTGAGCCAGGGACAGAAAGTCGTTTGTGCGGTCCTCAAAAGAGTGTTCCTCCTGCTCCAGCAGGAGGATTTGGAAGGCGGGGTAATCCCTAACATGAAAATAAAAACTGACAAAAAACGGAAAAACAAACGAGGGGAAAGACGCCGCTATACTTTTCTTAGGGTCAGTTCTTCTGTCACAACACGGTGTGTGGAGGCAGGCAGGACAACAAGGATTCCAATAATAACTTTTAATGTAGACAAAACAAGGCAGATTCAGGTGGGTAGGTGGGTAGGTGGGTGGGTGGGTGGGTGGGTGACTGACTGACTGACTGACACACACACACACACACACACACACACACACACACACACACACAGGGGTAACATTCACAATAACCGACAGCTAAAGCTCAGACAGACAGGAACTAATATAGGGTGGATAACTAGTGGCAGACAGGTGAGCACAATGAGGGTAATTAACTAATGATTAGTACGGGCTAAACCAACAAAAGGGGAAGAATAATTGCTTAAA